ATTAGTGATGTTGAGTATATTTTCATGTACCTATTGGCCTTTTGTATATCTTTTTTGGAGAAATGCCTATTCAGGTGCTTTGCCAATTTATTGTTTGGATTATTTGTTTGTTTGTTGTTGTTCTGCTGTTGAGTTGTATGAGTTCTTTATATGTTTTGGATATTAATCCTCTACCAGATATATGGTTTGCAAATATTTTTTCCTATTCTGTAGGTTGTCTGTTCACTTTGTTGATGGTTTCTTTTGTTGTGCAGAAGCTTCTTAGTTTGATGTATTCCTACTTATTTATTTTTATTTTGTTGCTTGTGCTTTAGGTGTCATCTCCAAAAAATCGTTACCAAGACCAACGCAAGGAGCTTTGTTCCTATGTTTTCTTCTAAGAGTTTCATGATTTCAGGTCTTACATTTAAGATTTAATTCACTCAAGTTAATTTTGTGAGTGGTGTAAAATATAGGTCTGGTTTCATTCTTTTACTTGTGAATATCTATTTATCCCAGCACCACTTGCTGAAAAGACTATCTTTTCTCCAGGGAATATATACTTGGTTCCTTTGTCAAATATTAGTTGACCATATATGCTCGGGTTTATTTCTGGGCTTGCAATTCTGTTCCACTGGTCTATTTGTCTGTTTCTATGCCAGTATCATACTGTTTTGATGACTATTGCTTTATAGTATAGCTTGAAATTAAGAAGAGTGATATCTCCTGCTTTGTTCTTCTTTCTCAGGGTTGCTTTGGCTGTTTGGGATTTTTTGTCATTCCATATAAATCTTGTGAGTGCTTTTTTCTACTTCTGTAAGAAATACCATTGGAATATTGATAGGGATTGCATTGACTCTATAGATGGCTTTTGGTAGTATTTACATTTTAACAAAATTAATCCTTGAAATCCAGGAACGTGGGATGCCTTTCCATTTATTTGTGTCCTCTTTGATTTTTTTTATCAATATATTATGGTTTTCAGCATGGAAATTTTTCATCCTTCTTAGAAATTAAGACAAAGTATTATTGTAATTACTGGTAAGAAAATTCTTTCAACATCAGGTAGACTTCAATTCTTTGCTTTCAACAAATAACAAGGAAGGAAGACCTATGATATGAGAGTTGTCATCCAATGAATTATTAACATTTTTGATTCTTTTGATGATTTTTGGTATTTGATTTTTGTCACATAAATCAGAACCAATGGGGACACACACACACATGACATACATACATGTATATATGTGTGTGTTTTATACACTTATGTGTGTATATACATACATGAACATATATATATGTATATGTATATATCAAGAGATTTATTGCAAAGAGTTGGTTTGTATGATTGTAGGGCCTAGGTTAGGCAAGTCTGAAATCTGTAAGGCAGACCTTGAGACTGGAAAGTCTAAAGCAGGAGCTGATGATATTGCATTCCTTAAATGGAATTTCTGAATTTCTTCTTCTTCAGGGATATCTCAGTTCTACTCTTAAAGCCTTTCAACTGATTGGGTCAAGCCCACACAGATTATCAATGATAAGTTCCTTTATATAAAGTCAACTAATGGTAGATATTAACCATATCTATAAAATGTCTATACAGCAACACCTATATTCAAGTTTGGTGAAATAGCTGGGTAGCATAGCCTAGACAAGTTGATATATAAAACTGACGATCACATATAGCAACCTCAATGAATATATCAATATAGTATTGTGTTAAAAAGGAACCTGAAGCTATAATTTAATCCAGCATGGAGAAGTGCCTTGATCTATTAGTGCAATATATATATGCTATGTTTATTTAATTTGTGTCATTTATTTATTTTTTTAATTAGGCCCTTTTTTTTTCCATGCAAAAGGGTGCTTTTATTTTTATTTTATTTTATTTATTTATTTTTTATTATGTTATGTTAGTCACCATATAGTACATCATTAGTTTTTGATGTAGTGTGAAGACCTAGATGTAGTGAAAAGAAGTGCCACATGCACCCCAATGTTCATAGCAGCAATGTCCTCAATAGCCAAACTGTGGAAAGAGCCGAGATGCCCTTCAACAGACAAATGGATAAAGAAGATGTGGTCCATATAATCTGTGTCATTTAATGTGTATTGAAATAGATTGTGAATTTTCAAAAAAAAAAAAGGTTTACAAATAAACTTTATTAGATGAGTTCAAGTGATTCTAAATGTCATCATTCAGAACATGGAGCCAACTATCTACGAAGCTTGCACCAAGCATTATGGAAGCACTAAAAGGTAAAAACCAGTCCTTGTCTTCAATGAACATAGCTTAATTTGTTGATAGGTAGCTCCAAAGAAATAATGGTGCTTTAGGATAATACCACTTTAGTTAGTAACTGTCAGATAAACTATCCAGGGGACAAATACCAGAAGACTTGGATGGAAGGAGACATTTCTTTGTGAGAGGGTGGTAAGAGAACTCTTCATTGAAGTGAAATTAGAACTGGACTTTTAATCTAGGGAAGTGGAAATATGGCATTCTAGGTGTTTGTGGGAATGAGGTTGGAAGGAAAAAGGCCTGATATGAGCACAAGTGCTGGTACAGGAAACACAAAGAACATTCAGGGACTGATGAAAACAGTTTGATTATGGAAGCAGGAGGCAAGTATAGCCATAGAGTTTTAGAATATGGAGGAAACACAAACCAATTACATTATTTTACAGATGAAAAATTAAAATCTTATTTGCTTGGTTTTCTAAAGTTTAAGCATTTCATGAAAGGAAAATCCAGGATTAAAATGCTTTTCCCTTGGGAGTTTCTGTGGCTCTTTTCCTTTTATCAATAATGGCACCTACTCTGAACAAGTGCTAGTACTTGTTTTGAACGCCATGATGTGAAACAATTTTTTAAGACACATTTTGGCTTCTTGGAAAACAGTCTTTGAATTAATTATTGAGGGGCCATGGATATGGGAGTAATCTCATCATTGCCAGATATTTGCTATTACTATCCTTACAGTATTGCTTTGGTAAGAGAAAAATAGAATGAGATTATTCTAACTTTTTTATTTGAAAATTATACGGATGATTGTTGAATAGGAAAAATAATGATAAAAGCATTATTTTAGGAAAATTAATTTGGTGGCAGTTTTTAAAATGATTTTAAAGGATATCAGGTACTTCTGAAACTGGAATTCTAGTGGGAATGCTACCATGTGGTGCGAAACATGAGTTGATGAGAGTGAACAGGATGTTGGCATTTGGATCAGAGGCAACAACCTGTAAGAAAGATAAAGGCAAATCTAAATTCTATTTGTTTCTCCACTCTATTTCCGGTGCCTAGAAAAATACCTGGGGCATAGTTGAAGCTTACTCAAATTTTTTGAATAAAGTCCAGTTACAGAAACTATTTCTACAATGGAAAACTAGGGAAAATAGAAATTATCCTATCCTGCTAGTGAAGGCAATTAGTGCAACCAATCTATTACCAGATTAAAAACTAGTTCAGAAAGGCATTTTTTTTTTCAAAAATAAACCATATAATCAGAAGTATGTATCACATTAACATATTAATCAAGATAATAAAGCAAATAGATCCATGATTGGCTTTACTTCCTTGTCAAGAGTATCCTAGAAAACAATGAATCATGGATCACTACATCAAAAACTAATGATGTATTGTATGGTGACTAACATAACATAATAAAAAAATAAAATAAAAAAAACACTAGAACTAGTTCACAATACCCTTAGGTATTCAAGATTAACTACTACTAAACATATTTCTAAGGAACATACAAACCAATTTCATACTCTGAAATAACTTATAATATATATTATAATAAACCTATCAAAACAACTATCTCTAAAATCATATATATATCTCACTCCCATGAGGTTTGCAGTTGGCATTAGATCAATCCCCTGCTGGGGCTAGGGAAGACAGAAGATACATGCTTGACACGTAATTCCAGCTGCAGATTCACCTGTGAAGGCAAAATACTGTCAACCAAATTATTGTAGCTCTCTCAGTTATGGCTCAGAGTTCTATCATGTATCAGAACTTTTCTCCAGAACAAGTAAGGCCCAGGGAACTTAAACCAAGCTTGAGTTTGGGAGCTTGGCACTTGCTGATAGTATCTGCAGGCAAAAGATCTTGCTGCACATGGAATATAGATAACTACATCTAAGGCAAAGCTGGAGCTGAGAAACAAATGTTCCAAGGAAGCATTTATAAAAGAGTCCAAATTGATAGGCATATGTGTGGGATGGTACATAGAAGGGATATGGGGTCTGGAGGACATAGTGGAGATTCAGCCCAGACATTCCCCCTCAGGTACCATTCTGGGAAATTCCACCAAAAAAAATTCACAAAATGAAGTAACTGAAGTTCCTGAATGGAGACCAGCCAAGGGCAATAGGCAATTCTCAAAATTTTGGAAGAGGCTGTTGAGATCAGGAAGGACTCTCCACAGGAAGCAAGTAGCGGTCTCAGTCCAGGCTCTCAGAGCAGAGCTACAGTTCCCATGGGAGAGCCTTAGGGAGACCAATGTAAGTAGACCTTTCACCTATGGAGACCCAGAAATTAGATGCTCAGCAATTAAAAATTTGGATGCTTAGAAATTAGGTATAGGAACAACCTTCCAAGATCTGAACCCCATCATCTGGGACATGAGCTGTGTTATCCAAATAGTGGCACTGCAAGAAGACGAGCTATGACTCAGGGAACAACTTGAGACCCAGGAGACAGCAGTGGAACAGAGTGTCAAGAGGGTCAAGTTTTCAGCAAAGGGAATTGGGGCAGAGCTAGGAAATGTAGTGTCAGCATGCAAACAGCACTTCTTGGACCATGTTAATAGGGAGGAGGGGAACTTCATTCTAAGCCATAACACACAGAGGTTGAATAAGATAAGTACTTTCTCTGTTGTCCATACTAGTCTAGGAAAAGGCAGGAATATCCTACAAAAACATAATAATTGGCCCTAAATTTAGGGAATTTGGAAGCTCAGAATCAGGAGCAAAACTGAGACCTGATTGATGACATGCACACAAATCTGTTTTAAAAGCACATTTTCTCCTTTATAAATCCATTTGACTGCCCAAGTCAGGTCATAACTGCCTCCATTTTAACAAATTACAGCTCTGTTCTTCAGATTGGTCACATAGACTCTAAATCTCTGTGCGGAACTGAAGCTCGGTTCCAGACATTTCCTTCTTGTAAATGACATCAAATTTCTCATTTTGGGCCACTGTGAAGTAATTCTTCCAGTCACCTGCTTTCCCTAAAAATAAATAAGAAAACATATTAAGGAATAATTATTTCCATTATGAAGGAAATCTAATGAATACCAAAAGAAAAGGTTCAAAGAGTTAAAGACTTTCCTTGTATTTGAATACTTTAAAATGCCATTTCTCCTTTACTGGTCATTTGTGCCATCTAGAAAGGTCGTTTAGAGCTAAATAGAACCTGACTTTTTTTTTTTTTTGAAATATAGTTGACATACAATATTAAATTTGTTTCCATTGTACAGCACAGTGGTTCAACACTTATATCCATTAAGAAATGATCACCATGATAAGTGGAGTTGTCATCTGTTATTACAATATTATTGCTATATTCCTTATGTTGTGCTCTGTATCCTCGTGACTTATCTATTTTATAACTAGAAGTTTGTTCCTCTTAATTTCCTTCACTTATTTCACCTATTCCTCCACCCCCCTCCCCTCTGGCAATCATCAGTTTGTTCTTTGTATTTATGAGTCTGTTTCTGTTTTGTTTTGTTTTGTTTATTTATTTTTTAGATTCCACATATAAGTGAAATTGTATGATATTTGTCTTTCTCTGTCTGACTTGTTTCACTTAGCATAAAAACCTCTCAGTCCATCCATGTTGTTGCAAGAGGCAAGATTTTGTTTTATTATTATTATTTTTTTATGGCAAGTAGTATACACTTGTATGTATATACCACATCTTTTTTACCCATTCATCTATTGATGGTCACTTGGGTTGCTTCCATATTTTGCCTATTGTAAATAATGCTGCAGCGAACATAGGGGTGCATATATCTTTTTGAATTAGTGTTTTCATTTTGTTACGATTGCTGGATTATACAGTAGTTCTACTTTTAATTTTTTGAGGAACTTCCATATTGTTTTCCACAGTGGCTGCACCAACCCAACTTACATCCCACCAACAGTGCACAAGTGTTTCCTTTTCTCCACACCATCGCCAACACTTGTAATTTCTTGTCTTTTTGATACTAGCCATTCTGATAGCTGTGAAGTTGTATCTCATTATGGTTTTGACTGACTTTTAAGGATACATTCTGAGAAGGGTTAGTTTTCCTGTCTAAATTTATAGAACATACAATAGTTTCCTGAAAGAGATTCTTTTAGTGTTTCTGTTTGTCATGGGTCATAGGGTTACTACTGAACACTCAATCAATGGTCAGGGAAGATTTTATTTCATGAATTAGTTTGGGAAACTGCACAAATAACTGGTCATCAACACAACCAATCCATGAACTAAAAAGTTGATAAGTATCATTTCCTATGAATTTATTAATGAAGATAGTATGATACTTGAAGGATACCATTTTCCCTGAGTTCACTAGACTTATACTGTATTTGCATTTTAGATGAGAAGAATAGCATTTAAAGTCAAATGTAGAACATTCTTGAACCATCTGTACAAAAGCAAAACTTTTGGGAACAAATTTGAATTTAATTTCTTATACTTGGATGCTGATAAATATTTATCTGAAAAATAAATTCTTAATATACTGTAAATGTGCTTGGAGATAAACATTTGCTTTGTTATTTTATGAAATATTAAACATGTCCTATTGAATTGCAAGCCACATTAATCCATGATGCCTTGATGAAGATTTCAAATCCTTTTAATGAAAAACATCCCCATAAACAATGTAGTTTCCCTGGTTATTATACTTTGCTGTGTGTTTACCAAAAGGTAAGAGCTCTTTGTAATGTGATAGTAGTGTATATTTGGAATAGTTCATCTGTAAAGATATCATTAAAAACAAAAAGCACAAATTAAACAATAAAAAGTCATATATAAAGTATTCTAATGATTTTCTATTTTGAGTATTAATCATATAATATACACAAACACACTTGCTTCACAAGAGTAAGGGAAGTATAAAAATTTTTTTGACAAAGTAAATGCTGACCAAAGCCCAGATTTTTCTGTTTTGTTGCAATCTGGGACATAAGTATAAACACTGGACATTATCTGTCCTCTTCCTACTTTTACTACTTTTACATTGTGTGATTAAATTATGACATTGATTTAGATTACATAGACTGGGGGCCCGGGAAAAGATGGTGGAGGAGTAGGGCACCCTATTCCAACCAGTCCCCAGAATTGAGCTGGATATCTACCAGACCACTCTGAACACCCACGAAATCAGCCTGAGATGTAAGAAGATAGATCTGGATCTCTACAAACAGAATATTGCCGGTAGTTGGTTTTGAGGTACAAAGCTGGGAGCTGTGATTCCGTGGGCAGATTTTGGAGGATAAATGGCAGGGGGAGGGAACCTGGCTGTGGGGATTCTACACCGCAGGTGAGCGATAGCCTCCCGAGCTGGGGACTGGGCAGAGTCGCAGACCAGTAGCAGCGGGGAAAGAACTTTAGGGTAGCACCCTGGACTGAAAGCTGGAGTGGGCCCCTGTGTGCAAACCGGGGGTGGCTGGTGGTTCTAGAAGCACAAAGGGCAGAGACGTACCCCGACCTGGAGGTGAGGACTGGGAGTGCTGCAGAGGGGTGCACAACCCAGGACACTGCAGTTTATAGCAGCACAGACAGAAATGGAGATGGTGTAGCCTGGAGAGCTCACTGAAGAATAGACTGCGATCTCTCTGCTCTGAGGCAGAGGGTTGGAAACGGTCTTTTCTGCTCTGACTCGCAGAAGAGATGCAGAAAGCCACCAGGGAAAGCTGCCAGAGAACAAAAGCCCCAAAAACTGATTCCCGCTGAGCCCATCCCCCACCACAGGGGGCAGAGCAACTCTGCTCAAACAGGGTTGCCTGAGTAACAGTGCAGCAGGCCCCTTCCCAGAAGACAGGCTGGGAAAACAAGAGGCTGGCAACCCTAAGGTCCCTAGAAAACAGGTGCATCTTGCTTGGGTTCTAGTCAATAATTTGGACTCTATACATTCCCTCAACCACCCCTTAACAGAATGACTAGGAGGAGGAACCCCCAAAATAGGAAAGACTCAGAGACTATGACTTATGCCACAGATTTACAAATGGATTCAGATATAACCAAGATGTCAGAGATGGAATTCAGGCTAGCAATTGTGAAGACAATGGCTAGAATGGAGAAATCAATTATGGCAACATAGAGTCTCTAAGGGCAGAAATGAAAGCTGAATTGGCAGAACTTAAAAATGATATCCATGAGATCCAATCTAATCTAGATAATCTAACAGCTAGGGTAAGCAAGGCAGAAGAACGAATTAATGACCCTAAAGACCAATTAATAGATTAAAAGGGAAAAGAGGAGGCAAGGGAAAAACAACTCAGAATCCATGAAAATAGAATCAGAAAAATAAGTGACACCATGAGGCGTTCCAATGTCAGAATTATTGGAATCCCTGAGGGGGTAGAGAGAGAGAGAGGATTAGAAGATATATTTGAGAAAATCATAGCTGAGAACTTCCCTAAACTGGGGAATGAAACAAATATTCGTGTCCTTGAGGCAGAGAGGACCCCTCCCAAGATCAAGGAAAACAGGTCAACACCCCGGCATGCAATAGTAAACTAGCAAATCTTAGAACCAAGGATACCATCTTAAGGGCAGTTAGGAGGAAGATATTCCTTATGTACAGAGGGAGGAACATCAGAATAATGTCAGACCTATCCACAGAGACCTGGCAAGCCAGAAAGGCCTGGCAAGACATATCCAGGGTACTAAATGAGAAGAAGATGCAGCCAAGAATACTTCATCCAGCAAGGCTTTCATTTAGAATGGATGGAGAGATGCAGAGCTTCCAAGACCAGCAGAAACTGAAAGAATATGTGACCACTAAGCCAGCCCTGCAAGAAATATTAAGGGGGGGTTCTATAAAAGGAGAAAGACCCCAAGAGTGATATACAACAGAAATTTACAGGGACAAACTATAAAAACAAGGTCTTCACAGGCAAAATGATGACAATAAGTTCATATCTTTCAATAATCACTCTCAAGGTGAACGGCCTAAATGCTCCCATAAAATGGCACAGGGTTGCAGATTAGATAAAAAGACATGACCCATCCACATGCTCTCTACAAGGGACTCATTTTGAACCTAAAGATACATTCAGACTGAAAGTGAAGGGATGGAGATCCATCTTCCATGCCAGCGGACCTCAAAAGAAAACTGGGTAGTAATTCTTATATCAGACAAATTAGATTTTAAACTAAAGACTGTAGTTGGAGACACAGAAGGACACTATATCATTCTTAAAGGGTCTATCCAACAAGAAGATCTAACAATTGTAAATATCTAAGCCCCCAACATGGGAGCAGCCATTTACATAAGCCAACTGTTAACCAAAATAAAGAGTCAGATTGATAAAAATACTTTAATTGTAGGAGACCTCAATACTCCACTCTCAGCAATAGAGAGATCACCTAAGCCCAAAATCAACAAATAAACAAGAGCTTTTAATGACACCCTGGACCAGATGGACCTCATAGATATATACAGACATTCCACCCTAAAACAACACAATACTCATTCTTCTCGAGTGCACATGGAACTTTCTCCAGAATAGACCACATACTGGGCCACAAATCAGGTCTCAACCAATACCAAAAGATTGAGATTATTCCCTGCATATTCTCAGACCATAATGCTTTAAAACTGGAGCCCAATCACAAGAAAAAATTTGGAAGAAATTCAAACACTTGGAAGCTAAAGACCACTCTGCTCAAGAATGTTTGAGTCGACCAGGAAATCAAAGAAGAACTTAAACAATTCATGGAAACCAGTGAGAATGAAAACACATTGCTCCAAAACCTATGGGATACAGCAATGGCGGGGAAATACATAGCCATCCAAGCCTCACTCAAAAAAATAGAAAAATCCCAAATTCACCATCTAACTCTACACCTTAAAGAACTAGAGAAAAATCAACAAACGATGCCTAAGCCACACATTAGAAGAGAAATAATTAAGATTAGAGCGGAGATCAATGAATTAGAAACCAGAAACGCAGTAGATCAGATCAACGAAACTAGAAGTTGGTTCTTTGAAAGAATTAATAAGATCAATAAACCACTGGCCAGACTTATCCAAAAGAAAAGAGAAAGGACCCAAATTAATAAAATTATGAATGAAAAGGGAGAGATCATGACTAACACCAAGGAAATAGAAACAATTATTAGAAATTATTATCAACAAATATATGCCAAGAAGCTGAGCAACCTGGATGAAATGGATGCCCTCCTGGAAACCTATAAACTGCCAAGACTGAAACAGGAAGAAATTGACAACCTGAATAGGCCAATAACCAGTAAAGAGATTGAAATAGTGATCAAAAACCTCCCAAAAAACAAGAGTCCCAGGCCTGATGGATTCCCTTGGGAATTCTACCAAACATTCAAAGAAGAAATAATACCTATTCTCCTGAAGCTGTTTCAAAAAATAGAAACAGAAGGAAAGCTTCCAGACTCATTCTATGAGGCCAGCATTATCTTAATCCCCAAACCAGGCAAAGACCCCATCAAAAAGGAGAATTTCAGACTGATATCCCTGATGAATATGGAGTCCAAAATTCTCAACAAAATCCTGGCTAATAGGACTGAACAATACATTAAAAGGATCATCCACCACAACCAAGTGGGATTTAGCCTGAGATGCAAGGGTGGTTCGATATTTGCAAATCAATCAATGTGATAGAACACATTAGTAAGAGGAGAGAGAAGAACCATATGGTCCTCTCAATTGAGGCAGAAAAACCCTTTGACAAAAAACAGCATCCTTTCCTGATTAAAACTCTTCAGAACATAGGGATAGAGGGAGCATTCCTCAAGTTCATAAAATCCATCTATGAAAAACCCACAGCGAATACCGTCCTCAATGGGGAAAAGCTGAGAGCCTTTCTCTTAAGATCAGGAACACGTCAAGGATGCCCACTCTCGCCACTATTGTTCAACATAGTACTAGAAGTCCTAGCAACAGCAATCAGACAACAAAAAGAAATGAAAGGTATTCAAATTGGCAAAGAAGAAGTCAGACTCTCTCTTTTCACAGGTGACATGATACTTTATGTGGAAAACTCAAAAGACTCCACCCCCAAATTCCTAGAACTCATATAGCAATTCAGTAATGTGGCAGGATACAAAATCAATGCACAGAGATCAGTTGCTTTCTTATACACTAACAATGCAACTGTAGAAAGAGAAATTAGAGAAATTATTCCATTTACAATAGCATCAAAAACCATAAGATACCTCAGAATAAACCTAACCAAAGAGGTAAAGGATCTATACTCTAGGAACTACAAAACACTCATGAAAGAAATTGAAGAAGACACAGAAAGATAGAAAAACATTCCATGCTCATGGATCGGAAGAATAAACATTGTTAAAATATCTATGCTACCCAGAGCAATCTATACCTTCAATGCCATCCCGATCAAAATTCCAATGACATTTTTCAAAGTGCTGGAACAAACAATCTTAAAATTTGTATGGAATCAGAAAAGACCCCAAATCACCAAGGAAATGTTGAAAAAGAAAAACAAAGCTGGGGGCATCACATTGCCTGACTTTGAGCTATATTACAAAGCTGTGATCACCAAGACAGCATGATACTGGCACAGAAACAGACAAAAAACCAATGGAACAGAATAGAGAGCCCAGATATAGACCCTCAACTCTATGGTCAAATAATCTTTGACAAAGCAGGAAAAATTATGCAATGGAAAAAGTCTTTTCAATAAATGGTGCTGGGAAAATTGGACAGCCACATGCAAAAGAATGAAACTTGACCATTCTCTAACACCATTCACAAAGATAAACTCAAAGTGGATGAAAGACCTCAATGTGAGACAGGAATCCATCAAAATCCTAGAGGAGAACATATGCAGTCACCTCTTTCATATTGGCCACAGCAACATCTTTCAAGATACATCTCCACAGGCTAGTGAAACAAAAGCAAAAATGAACTTTGGGGACTTCATCAAGATAAAAAGCTTCTGCACAACAAAGGAAACAGTCAACAAAACGAGGAGGCAACCCACAGAATGGGAGAAGATATTTGCAAATGACACTACAGATAAAGGGCTGGTATCCAATATCTATAAAGAACTTCTCAAACTCAAGACCCAAAAAACAAATAATCAAGTCAAAAAATGGACAGAAGACATGAACAAACACTTCTCCAAAGAAGACATACAAATGGCTAACAGACACATGAAAAAATGTTCATCATCATTAGCCATCAGGGAAATTCAAATCAAAACCCCACTGAGATACCACCTTACACAAATTAGTGGCAAAAATTGACAAGGCAAGAAACAACAAATGTTGGAGAGGTTGAGAAAGGGGAACCCTCTTACACTGTTGGTGGGAACGCAAGTTGGTACAGCCACTTTGGAAAACAATGTGGATGTGCCTCAGAAAATTAAAAATAGAGCTACCCTATGACCCAGCAATTGCATTACTTGGTATTTACCCCAAAGACACAGATATAGTGAAAAGAAGGGCCATATGTACCCCAATGTTCATAGCAGCAATGTCCACAATAGCCAAACTGTGGAAAGAGCCGAGATGCCCTTCAACAGATGAACGGATAAAGAATGTGGTCCATATATACAATGGAATATTACTCAGCTATCAGAAAGGATGAATACCCAACTTTTACATCAACATGGATGGGACTGGAGGAGATTATGCTAAGTGAAATAAGTCAAGCAGAGAAAGTCAATTACCATATGGTTTGACTTATTTGTGGAACATTAAGGAATAGCATGGAGGATATTAGGAAAAGGAAGGGAGAAATGAAGGGGGAAAATCGAAGGGAAAGATGAACCATAAGAGACTATGGACTCTGAGAAACAAACTGAGGGTTTTAGAGGGGAGGGGGTAGGATGGATTGGTTAGCCCGGTGATGGGTATTAAGGAGGGCATGTACTGTGTGGAGCACTGGGTGTTATACAAAAACAATGAATCGTGGATCACTACATCAAAAACTAATGATGTATTGTATGGTGACTAACATAACATAATAAAATTAAATTTAAAAAAAATTATGACATTGATTTAGCCAACATGGCATCCCTCAAGACTGAGTGTACTCAACCTATTGTTCATACATCACTTTGAACCCTGTTTAGCATCCATTTACATGCATGCCTCTTGGATTACATTATGAGGTTCTTAAAGGAAATGCATGTGTCATTCAAACTGGCATGTTCTAGAGAATATGTGCTGCATACGGGTGTTCATGAAGAGTGTTTCCTAAATGTACAATGAACAAATAAATGGGTATTATTTACATGTTTATTGACTACATGAATGAATAAATGAGTAAACAAATCTTGAATTATTTAGACTAAGAAGATGGGCTACTTTTTAATGTATTATTTACAGTCAGAAAAAACATTTCAAATGCTTACATGTCATTTACCGTAATCCTCCCCCCAAACTTATGCCACAGATCTTGTTACTTTCTCCATATTTTCAGCATTGTAACCAGACCTTTGGCAGATTGATTAAATGTATTCAAAGTCATAGATTCAGGGAGTGGCAAAGCCTGGATAAACCCTACATCAATCTGACCACAAAGGGTATGTCTGTTTATCGCTTCCAGAGGGAATGTAAAGCCCGTCTCTATTATGAGACTAGCATGCAGTCTTTTCTGCTTGAAGTTAGAGAAACCATAGAACCCAGATACTGAACTTATGTTATCTACCTCTATACCCTAATGAGGTATCATGGGGTGGTACCAATTTTCATATGACTAGGAATAAAACCTTCCTGGAAGTTACATTCAGATAATCTGACAAAATGAGAATTTGCCTTGTTTAGTAAAGGAGGATTTTTTTTTCCTGATTTTTTCCATCAGCAAAATGTGTGTATGTGAGCATCAGTCTTTGTTTAGACACCATTTACAATGAAAAATTTACTTTGCCTCCTTATACCAGAGGTTAGTTTTGAAAAGTTAAATGTAATGTTTTTGAAAATAAAAACAATTTGAAAACACCAGGACTATTTGCTATTATGATAAGTAATCTAGAAAAATGTTTTAGAAAAAATTTAACCATATAATTCTTTGAAAATCAAGGGTTTTCAGTCATATGTTCATATGTACAGTACATTTTAAGGGTTATGTTTACTTCCTAGCACACCGATTGAAATTCTACCCCTTCATCTCTACTTCAATAAAGAATATTGAAAACAGAGGGTGACATTATTAGGTGGAGAGCTTCTCAAATTTAAGTTAGCACTTTGTTAAGTGTATTATTTTTATCATTAACAATTTACATTTTTGACACAAATCATAACAATAAGCTATACTATGCAGGATTTGCTTCAGTGGAATCGATAACAAATGCCATATTCCTCTATTGTTATCTTTTTACATTAAATTTAGATTCCACGTTTCCTATAATTCAGACAGTATTTTTAGGGAGCAAAATCTTCCCATAGGGTAAAGGAAAGCCCTTTCTCTTTGTGAATCCTTAACAAAGTGACTACTGTTTTCTAAGTGATATGGGGTCTTTAAAGCAGATGGTCTTGTATTGAATGACATTAATTTATCACTGAGGAAAAGAGGGAGGCCTATGCTTATTTAGGCAAAGATTTAAGAATTAGGAATAACAATTTTAGAATGACTCACATCAGAATTGACAAAACTACTCCCATTTAGTAGCACAGTAAATAGAAGAAGAAATATGCATCAAATACCCAAGGTATTCTGGTAATGGGTTTATAATGCATTATTTCCTCACTAATTTCTAATCTGGTTCAACAACTTTTGTAGTAGGTATTTTTAGTGTCCTTATATCACAGATGAAGAAATTGGTGCCAAAACTGGCTAAGTAACTTGTTAGAGATCATTACTCCTCACTTCAGAGTAATTCATAAGAAAGTGAAAAGGGAAATTAAACTCAGCAAAATATTTACCTTTACGCATAAAAGAGGATTTGCTATGATCCATCACTGTACTTGGTAGATGTGTATAATTCACCAGAGGGTTATCCTTCATTATTTCAAATGAGGTGTGATGGACGATCTTATCCAAGACCTCATCATTCAAATTCTTTTCTAGAAATCTAACAATCTTCTTGACTTCCTGCTTTGGATTCTATCAGTGGTTAAAGAGACATACCCAAGAAAATGGTAAACAAAATATCATTAACATAATGTGAAAACTATAATATCTATAATCTGTTTTTTTTTTTAAATTTTATTTATTTATTTGAGAGAGAGAGAATGAGAGAGAGCAAGCACATGAGAGGGGGGAGGGCCAGAGGGAGAAGCAGACTCCCTGCCGAGCAGGGAGCCCGATGCGGGACTCCAGGATCATGACCTGAGCCGAAGGCAGTCGCTTAACCAACTGAGCCACCCAGGCGCCCTATAATCTGTTTTCTTAAATGTTGGTTCTGAATATTCAATCCATATTTTGTTGGGTCATCAATGTTTTTTTTTAAATTAATCATATGAATCATGAAAAAAATCAATAATTTATGTTTGGCAAAAATAGATGAAATATTTTGTTTATTCTAAATTTTGTATTTTTAGTTTATATCAAAAGTACAATAAGAACAAAGCTTGGGCTAAATATTAGCAATATTTGGAGAAAAAATAACAGCTATTTTAAGCTCAAGTTGTAATCAGATTTGAACAGTGAATATTCAGGGACCAAGTATGTTTTTATTCTTCCTGCCTTTATTTATTTGTTCTCAATCAAAATTCTTTTCTTGTTTTTAATTACAATATTTAAAAACAAAAATAATAAATTCGTGAAGAACTTCAAGTATGTTTGCCTTAGAGTACTTATTCCTTAGACCTTGCTTGGACATAAATTATTAAAAATAAACTGCAGAGGCACCTGGGTGGTGCAGTCAGTTGAGCATCCAACTCTTGGTTTCAACTCAGGTCATGACCTCAGGGTCATGAGATTGAGCTCCAGGTCAAGCTCCACACTCAGTGCGGAGTCTGCTTGAGACTCTCTCTCCCTTTCCCTTTGCCTATCCTTCTGCTCACACTCTTTCTTTCTCTCTCTCTCAAGTAAGTAAATAAATACATAAACACATAAATAAATAAATACATAAATAAAATCTTAAAAAAAACTCCAATGAAGGTGCATTAAGTTACTCATTAACTATTGGGGATACAAAGAGCAAAATCCAAGAAATGAATCATTTTCCAGATTCTAATGACATAAATTTAATATTTATAACTTTTAGGAAGCTAAACTAAACTCTATATGGATACGTCTAGAAATATTTTGAGAAGGTGATATCCAAGCTGAGTTGAAAAAGATGAGTCAGAATTTACCATGATGTGTGGTCTGCTGAGGTGCTGGAGAGCGAATTTCTAGTAGAGAAAATAGTCAAAATTCTTGGCGGTATAGGGTCTCATAACGTTTTGAAGGGAGGAAAAAAAAGCAAAGTGGTTGAAGTTAGGTTTGAGTTGTTCATAGGAATAAGAGAGGCTATAAAATTGGAAAGATAAATTGGGGTAGAAATGAGAAAATCCTCGGATGTCCCACTGAAGGATTTGGACTTTATCTCTTATGTAGGGAAGCCACAGCATTTAATAATATGTCATTGACTGTGTGTGTGTGTGTGTTCATTGTATACACATGTGTATGTTTTGGCAGGGAGTTCCCTACAAGGGAAGTTCTGGCAATATATTATGTCTCAGACCTTGATGAGAGCAGAATGAGATGACCAATTAAGGGGTGTGAGTGCTTGGAATAAGTAAAGGGTCAGAAATGATGATAGTGGGAAAAAGGCCAAAAGAGAAGTTAATAATGGTAGTAGGAAAACCACAGATGGACAGGCAAATAGACAGCAATTTCTATTAGGGATTCAAAGTGTTTGGAGAATAATCTGGCCGCCTCCAAATTATCAATGAGTGTTAGTTTATGTTGCAGTAGAAGTGAAAGCAGAGTGCTGGTACCTATCAAATCTCCTTCTGTTGTATTTCTCTTTCACCTCATTGATTGAGAATTTATGCAGAAGCTCATAAACCAATGTCAATTATTAGACTTTTATTTGAATTTTATTATTGATATGTAACTATAATTTTGTTCTATTGTTGTTAAACTTCTTTATATAACATTGTCTAAAAATGACTGTGTGACGGGAGAAAAAGACCATCTATTAAGTATGATGAATATACAGGTTTGAGTGGGATTCAAAAGATCTAGATATGCTTATAAAGCTGATTGGGCCAGACTGTAAATCAGTATGAATGAGTGTATTTGAATAACGCATTTTAGCTGAATAAGGAGAGAAATGGTCGACACAAGAGTGTCCTGTGGGGGGCAGCATGATGTTGGACTCAGAATGTGGACACCAGCCTGGCCCAGAAAGTGTATTTCCCCATCCTATGGAGAAAAGAGACTATATTTAGAAGCTAAAATTGCTCTTTTCATAAAGTTATTAAGTGCTTCTCTGGTGTCCAGAAAGTAAGGAAAGAGTACAGAAGGACAATTTTCTCCTTATAAAGAATTCATGACTTTGGCTAATCAAATACTCAAGGGATATCACCACTTTTTAAAAGTGTTTTCATAAAACCACTTCAGTTTCACAGCTGCATATTGCCAGCAAATTGGAAATTAATTGCCTCAAGCCCTGTATAAATGCGCAATAGTTAAGTTTTAACGATAGATTCTCTAAGAGTTGCAAACAAGTGTGATGGAAGGTGACAGCCAAGGCACACCAGAAAAATTCAGAGGACTCTTTTTGTTAAAAGTGTGAGATGTGAGAATACCCTGGGGGTTTTTCAGAAATACTTGGATCAAGAGAAATTTTACATGGAACATGATTTTTGCTATGCAAAGGAAGATTGATGTCTCTAAGATGTTTGTTATTATTGCTCATTCATTTATTTATTCATTCAAGCAATCAATTATTCATACAAGTGATTCGATGAGCCCCTATGTGTGTAAGGTGCTATATTCTGTACTGTGAATGTAGTTTCAAGAATGGTAGATATTGTACCTTACATCATGAATCTGAAAGTCTAAAATGTACCCTCATTTGTAAGTCCAATCTTCTTCAAATAGAGGAACTTGGTTTCCACATATTTCTCAGGGTGTGTGTGTGTGTGTGTGTTTGCCTAATTTGAGTAAAATGGCCTCAGACTAGGCCTGGAACTTTGCAGTTATTCAAATATTGCTATATTTAAACTGATACTAGTTCATACAGGAAACTAGATGAATGCTCATGAGTCCCCAAACTAAGAGGGCGATAGTAAGAAAGTAAAGGAGAGGGATTTGAAAGTTATAATAGGTAGGGCATGTGAACCAATGGGATGTTCACAATATAGTGGAACCACTTCCACTATATGGAAGTCAATGAGGACGATGTATTTTCAAATTTTGAAAATTAATGGACATGTATGTAAGTGATGAGTCACTAAATTCTATACCTGAAACAAATATAACACTGCATGTCAACTAACTGGAATTTAAATAAAAATTTAGACAAAAAAAAGAAAATTAATGGACAAATAACATCATTAACCAAGAGAGAATAAAAGAAGAAAAGGATTAAATAAATGTTGGAGTCAGAGAAACAAGATGAGTTTAGTTTTGAACATGTTAAATTTAAGGGTCATTTTAATAAAAGCATGTGTCTGAATTAGGGTAGAAGTTAAAATGAAGTTTGGGGGGGATCATTAGGACATAAAGAGTTTTGGCAACAGTAGGCATGGGGTATGATCACCAAAATGTAGCAAACAGCTTATAAAGAAAGCTAAGTGACAGACGGAGATCCACAGGAAAGCCAAGAGAGCGTGATAACCTATTAAATGTAGGAAAGAATTTCAACAAGAGAAGGTGCTCACAATAAACACAATGTTTAAAAAGTATAAGAAGATAAAAATGTCATGGATTTCACCATTAGAAGTCACTAATGATCTTAGCAAGATTTGGGTAAGCAGGCATGGAGAAGAGGCAATATAATCACATCTTTTTTTTTTTTTAACTCCATAGATTAATTTGAAAATATATATTAACCCTTTACCCCAGGATGTAATGGGGGAATTATCCAGAATGAATTTCTATGATTTTACCTCTTTCATATCTTCATAGAACAAGAAAAGTATTGGGTGTTCTTCCTTTTTCTTCCACCAACTCTTAACATGATTAAACCAAGAACCATAAGCCACTAAAACCAGAGAAACAGTCTTACCATAAGCTTTCATCAAATTAAAGGTTTGTTTCTAAACAATAAATAAATTGTACAAATATTCTGTGGAATTCAGTAACCAAGGGAACTGAATATATAAGACCAATTAAAAATATATATAATCTGGGGCACCTGGGTGGTTCAGTCATTAAGTGTCTGCCTTCCACTCAGGTCATGATCCCAGGGTCCTGGGTTCGAGCCCTGCATCAGGCACCCTGCATCAGGCTCCCTGCTCAGCGGGAAGCCTATTTCTCCCTCTACACATCCCCTGCTTGTGTTTCCTCTCTCCCTGTCTCTTTCTCTCTGTCAAATAAATAGATAAAATCTTTAAATATATATATATATATATATATATATATAAAATCAGCCATTTATGGATGTACAGTAAGATTAAAACAATATAAAGTACAAAGGAAGCATTCCAATACATTGGCCTCCGTATGGGTTTTACTTGGCCTCACATGGAAGGAAACCATTCTACTACTCATATTAACTATTTATCTAAATACTATAAATATATGTATAACAGATCTAACTGAAGATTTGGGCAGGGGCGCCTGGGTGGCTCAGTTGTTGGGCGTCTGCCTTCAGCTCGGTTTGGGCCAGTTGAAGAATTCCCATTGTAACTGAGAATAGATCTCTAGCAACTGAAAAAACATTTGAGAATATTCTCATCAAGCCAATGTTAAATACCAAATTTATATATTGATGTCATAGTAAAATATTAAGTTAATCTAATTTTTAATGCTATTTAAATGTACTTTTTACTAGCTTGGAAAAGTAAATATTTTTATAGGAAAAGTCACACCAGTAATAGTTATTAATATTATTAAAAAGGAAAAGTACTTATTGATTTCAAGCCCAGGGCTACCTACCATTTCCAGTCATGAATCTCTCCAGATACTCTTCCCAGGGACCAGGGACAGGTTCCAAATTATTCATTAAGTCAAAATGGTAATATGAGACTGCAACATCCTTGGCATTTCGAGCCAGATAAATCATCTGCGGGGGAAAAAAGAAGAAAACCACATGGATTTAAAATCCATGAAATTAAAAACAGGAAAAATTAGAGAAAATTAGTGAAACAAAAAGCTGTCTCTTTTTTTAAAAAAATGAACAAACTTGATAAACATCTAGCAAGACTAACAAAAAAGAAGACACAACTAACATCAAGAAAAAAACAGGAAGTATCACAACAAATCTTATAGCCATTAAAATTATAATGAATATGAAAAGATGCTCCATATCACATGTCATCAGGGAAGTGAAAATTAAAGCAACAGTGAGACACCACTCTGTACTTATTAGAATGACCAATATCCAGAAAACTGGCACCAAATCCTGGTGAGGATGTTGAGCAACAGGAGCTCTCATTCATCACTGGTGAGGTTGCAAAAATGGTACTGTTACTTTGGAAGACATTTTGGCAGTTTCTTACAAAGCTAAACATAGTTTTACCTACAATCTGGCAATCGCAATGCTTGGTATTTATCCAAAGTTGAAAAATAAGGTCCACACAAAAAACTGCAAGTGGATGTATAGAACAGCTTTATTCATAATTGCCAAAACGTGGAAGGAAACAAGATGTCCTTCAGTAGGTGAATGAATAAACTGGGATACATCCAGACAATGGAATATTATTCAGCACTAAAATGAAATGAGCTGTCAAGCCATGAAAAGACATGGAAGAACCTCAAATTCATATTGCTAAGTGAAAGAATGCAATTTGAAAAAGCTACATACCATATGACAGAAGGTCATATAGTTAGACCTTCTATACATAGAAGGTCTATGTATTTTTTATTGCCTCCATGAAAACTATGGAGACAATAAAAAAGATCAGTGGTTGCCAGGTTAGGAGGCGAGGGGGGTGAATAGGTGGAGTACAGAAGATTTTTAGGGCAGCAAAATTACACTATAGGATGCTATAATGGTATATATATGTCATTATACATTTGTCCAAATCCATTGAATGTACACCACCAAGAGGAACCCTAATGTAAACTATGAACTTTAGGTGATTATGATGTGTCAAAGTAGGTTCATCAGTTGTAATAAATGCACCACTCTGGTGGGGGATGTTGATGATAGGTAACTATGTGTGTATAGGGGCAGGGGATATTTGGGAAATCTCTGCCTTCCACTCAATTTTGCTGTGAACCTAAAATTGCTCTAAAAATAAAATTGCTGTAAAAAATACAGTCTGTTCAAAGAAAGAATAAGAAGAAAATTATGGGGGCACCTGGGTGGCTCAGTCAGTTAAGTGTCTGCCTTCATCTTAGGTCATGATCCCAGGGTCCTGGGATCTAGTCCTACGTCAAGCTCCCTGTTCAGTGGGGAGTTTGCTTCTCCCTCTCCCTTTGCCCCTCCCCCCTTGCTGTCTCTCACTCAAATAAATAAATAAAATCTTTAAAAAATGAAGAGAATTATGAAATACTTTTCATTACAAAATTCCAAAACTTAGAATTCCTCACAATCACAAACTAGCAAAAGTCAGTTAAGTTGAAATAAACAATCAGAATAGTCCCACAAAGATTGAAGAAATTGAATTTCAAATTTCAAATTTCCCCAGAAGCAAATATCCAGGCACAAATATTTCACTGGAGAATATTACCAAATAATCAAATAAGAACTGACATCCTTATGTTGAGTTTTCAGAGAAGGACAGAATATCTAGGGATAGCTGGGGAATAATAGTAGCAATATTGTGCTGACATGGGGATCCTGTTGCTACATACCTTTGGCAAACTTGATTATGTAGGTTTAGACTGAAATATATATTTTTAATTGAAGCACTTTCTTATGTAGCTCATTTCTCATGGTATCAAACAAAACATTTGAGCAAACATTTACTATGTGCATGACTAAAGGGATAGGGTCACATTAAAAAATGACTTGCAGGGGCGACTGGGTGGCTCAGTCATTAAGCGTCTGCGTTTGGCTCAGGTCATGATCTCAGGGTCCTGAGATTGAGCCCCGCATCAGGCTCCCTGCTCCGTGGGAAGCCTGCTTCTCCCTCTCCCACTCCCCCTGCTTGTGTTCCCTCTCTCACTGTGTCTCTTTCTGTCAAATAAATAAATAAATAAATAAATAAATAAATAAATAAATAAATAAAATCTTTAAAAAAAATGACTTGCAGTGTAGAGTATACCTTGCAGTTGTTCTCCCAGAAAGACTTAGGAAGGAGATCAATTGGTAGATGCGTCTTCACAAGTCGTGGTGATGGATTCTTCTCTAATTGTTCTATTCCTGGGAAAATTTTAGTTTTATTTTAGTACATTAGAGCTTTCAAGGAGCTTGCATTTCCTGATTTTCTCTGACCGTTTAAAATATTTTTGAGCAGAATATAATGCTGCTAAATTTTGAACAAATCACAGGTATTATCTGGATTCTCAGAGGCAATATTGCATAATGGTTAAGGGCATAGTTGTGAGTTTAGCCTCCTTGGGTTCAAATCCTAAGTCTGTCACTTACTCATTGTGAGACATTTGAAAGTATGCTAGTCTCTGTGTTTCACTTTTTCTACCTCCAAAATGAAGGGTAATAATATCAACTTTAGCAATTTGGAATTTTATCATACCTTGCATTATTATAAATCATTATGAAAATAGTTTCTGTTTCTCAAGCGATATGGATAACTCCCAATTCTCATATCAGCTATTGTTTTGCATCTGCTGTTATGGTATAGATGTGTTACATTTGGAGAGCATCAGCTGTTGCACCTGCATTTTTTCATTATTTCCTCTATGTGTCAAATGTACATACATGCAAAATGAAAATGTTGTGTAATTTTTAGGTGTTAGCTGAACTCACCAAAGACACACAACTAATATGTGGGAGAATTTGGTTTCAAATCAAGTCATTGGATAAGGGGTTTGTCAACTTCCCTGAAACAGAAAATATCCATTTATTTTGTCTAGTCAGAGCTAGGATGATCCCAGGGGCTTGGATCTCACAAATAAGTGGCTTGGTCAGTCTGAAGGCACTTCTGGGATAAAGGCACACTCAGAATTCCTGACATAGACTAGGAAGAGTGGGGCAAACCCTTTTAATTTAACTATTCTTTTAATGCATTCAGTGGCCTTTATCATATCCCAGATATATCTTTTAAAGATGTCATATCCTATAGAGTCATCAACACCTAAAATCTCCTTCAGATTTCATACCCAATAAATCTTAGAGTCCTACGCATTTTTTCGCAATATTACTTATATCCAGTCTAACCTCTAGATTACCTGTTAATCCTACATTACCTTCCCACCTTTTGCATACAAAGGCACACCTGCTCAAAATTGCATCTGACTCACTCTTTTAAAACAATCTTAAGCTTCATTCATTTACAAAAAGTTATTACATATGCTAAAAAGCCACTCAATCTCTATTAAAACATCCTTTTATTAAAATATTCTATGTAATGCTTATTTTTGTTTCAGTCTATTTACTTCTTTATTTGTTTGTTGTCAGCTCCCATGCTTCTTCCTCATCCGCACCCCCAAACACACACACTAGAATGGAGATTCCCCAAGAGCCAGGATGTAGCTCAATTTGAATGTTCTGTAGAGAACAATACATAGCACATAGTTATATTAGTATGTAGTTTTATTAGGAAGAACCTCTTAATTTTAATGGGGATAGGGTTGACTGACTTAGGAAATAAAGATCAAGAATCCTAGTTAAGGGGCGCCTGGGTCCTGGGATTGAGCCCCACATCAGGCCCCTTGCTCAGCCGGGAGCCTGCTTCTCCCTCTCCCACTCCCCCTGCTTGTGTTCCCTCTCTAGTTGTCTCTCTATATATATCAAATAAATAAAATCTTTGGGAAAAAAAATCCTAGTTAAATTTGAATTTCAGATAACAACAGATAGCTTTCAGTGTATCTTCCATGTAATATTTGGGATATACTTACGCTAAGTAAAATAGCTATTTATCTGAATTTCAAATTTAATTGGGTATCTTCAGTTTTATCTGGAAACATTAATTATACACCTATAAAATTCCACCAAGTATTTTATTATGCTACTACTAACCTGGTAACTACAGCCACTTTATCCAGCATAGAAATGAGAAATCATCTTCCACAACCCACTATTCCTCAATGCCCATGACATGAACTTTTACATTTTTTTAATGACGTTTTCCCCTTATCTGTTACTCCTCTTCATTCCCTCAACTTCACTGAAAGATTTCCCAAACTCTAGGTTGTAATTGTTTTGCCATGTAAGGTCTTTAAATCAATCCTTTATTGCACAAATATGAATGTTAGGAATATGTAATAACATTACACACATTCATATTCAGGCTCCAGAGTAAATCTCAGTGACAATTTACCCTCTTTTACCTGCTGACTCTCACTTACTCACTCTATGGTGATGCTACACAGCCTCACTCTGCACCTTTAACCCCCATTTCCCACCAGTCATCCCTGACTCCCCCACCCCAATTACCTTGATTCTATCACTTTTTCATTTCCTACTTTTTTAATGGCTCTGGAGTCTTATCTCATTCTTGCACTCACTTTGTTTGCTTATCCCAGAATAATTATTTTAGCTCCAAGATTCATCATTTGCTCTGACTTCAGGCAACCACATGGAAGGAATGACACCCTCTCAGCTGGTTCTTCTCTGCCTATGGAAGTAAATAGCTCTGGTAGGGAAGGGAATTTAGATTCTGCTCTTTAAATTGAAATAACATTCACCACCATACTTCTGTCTTCTTATCCCAGGTTTCCAGCAGCATTTGAAGGCTAGGTCTCACTTCTTGAGCCCTTCTCACTTGCCTACCAGACACCATACTCCTGATTCTCTTTTAGATCACTGAATAGTTCTTGAAAACTACACGCCCTACATGATCTGTCCCTGTCTAGTCTCCAGTGGTTTTATCTCACTTTTCCCCTTTCATTGTTGTTGTTCGGTTCCTAGACCACACCAGGGTCTTTCTGTATCTAAGCCTTCATACCTAATACTCACCTTCATGAAATATGTTTTCTCCCACTATGTGCATAGCTCTACATCTCAATTCAGAGTAGATATCCCTAAATATCCAATCTAAAGTAAACTCTCTTGTTGTTCCCTATTCTTTGGGTACATGAGCCTAAAAATATTATTAGTTTATTTACTTATTTAATGGCATGATATTACTGTAAACTCCTTGAATTTATTAATCACTGAATTTACTAATCATTTTATATCTAGCCCATAGCACAGTGCATAATTCTTTGGAAGCACTCAATAAATATTTGTGGAATGAAATATGAATTGTATTAATAATAAATTTTATGTTTGAGAGGTATTGGTACTTCCTTACTTACTTAACTACAGCAATGTCCTAAACTAGGAACTTATTAATCTAATCTACCACATTCTATACAACAAAAGTCAATAAAAAATAAAGAACATTTTTTAAGTTATTAACCAAATTTTTAGTTATTTTCTACAACAAAACTCTTTCATCTTAGGTCATCATACTTGGATGTACAATGAATTAAACTACAATTTCTCTATACGTCTTGGTGATTGTACTGCTTACAAACTTCCATTTTATGTTACCAAGTTCACTCCATTTTCTTTGAATGTAAATCACAAATACAATAATTAATGTGCTATATAAATAATATAAGGCGGAGGCAAGATAGCAGAAGAGTAGGGGACATCGTTTCATCTGGTCCCTTGAATTTAGTTGGATATCTATCAAACCATTCTGAACACCCACAAATTCAGCCTGAGATGTAAGAAAATATATCTAGAACTCTACAAGTAGAAAAGCAACTGCTTTTTGCAAGGTAGGAGGTATGGAGTCATGAATCTATGGGGAGATATTGGAAGATAAATGGAGCAGGAAGGGAGCCTCCATAAGCTGGTTACAGGAAAGTGATATAATACTGGACCACAAAATCGAACCCTTAGAAATCTGCTCTAGTGAGAGACATCCCTTTCTGAAAGGGGCTCAAGGGATGAAAAGGGCAGAATTCTAGGTAGGTCATTGTGGTCTCAAAATTCCAGATGACAGAACAAACAGGGGTGTCTGAACCAGTAGATGGCCCAAGCAGTGGAGCAGGGAAACTGGTTATGGTCAGTGAGCCCAGGAGGGGACTTTCAGCTCAGGTCGCCATAAGCCCTGAGCAGGGCCAGTCAGGTGACCGCTCTCTGCCTGCACACTCTGAAAAGGACTGGGACTCACAGGCCATTTACCATTTCCTGGGAGGGGTGAAATGGCTGCGCCCACAACTGGGCAACAGCTCTCAGGGTGGCGGTGGCCCCAGAAAGGACAGTAGGCGACACCCAGCCATGGCCTGGGAACAGGGACAGGGTACATGTACAAGCCTGCAACCGCTCACAGTCCCAAAAGGTAGTGATGCTCGCAGGTCCCTGGGACTCCCTCCGGTGTGGCAGGGTGGATTACAGTGGGCTTGTACCACAAGAGTCTGCAGAGTTTGGCACACACAAAAGTGAGAACTGTTTGTCCCAGAGGGTTTATTGAAGAAGTGGGAACGCGATCTTTCAGCTCTGAGCCAGAGATCTGGGCATGGCCATTTTTACTCTGATCTTCTAAAGAGGGGCAGAAAGCCTCCAGGGACAAAAGCCACACAGAGGACCAGCTTACACTGAGCCCAGCCCCCTGGCAAGGGGTGGGGCAACTCTGCAGAGGCAAAGACACCTGAAGAGCAGCACAGCAGGCCCCTCCCCCAGAAAAACAGACTGGAAGAAAGGTGGACAAGTTTATGGATCCCACAAGACTGTAAAATTCCAGTACCCGGGGAAAATAGTATATTAATTTCCCCGTGTTTTCTCACAATTTGTTTATCTTTCAGTCTAAAATTTTCCATTTCTTTTGTTTTACCTTTTTCCCATTTCAACTAGATTCTTATTTTACCAACTTATGTTTGTAAGTCACTTTTTAACTTTTATCTTTTACATCTACATTTTATAGATACATGCTTCATTTTAGTCTTTTTTTCCCACTCTATTCAATTTTATTTGTATATATATAAGTTTTGCTTTCTTTGCAATTTTGGGATGTAGTGTCTAACACACAGATCAATATTCAATAAGGAACAAGTGGATCACCCTGCTTTGTCCACCCTATGAGATTATAGTCTCTCTCCCCACTTCCTTTTTTTTGTTTTGTTTTGTTTTGGTTTGGTTTGGTTTAGTTTGCTTTTCTGTTGTGGTTTCCAACCACTTCAGATTTGTCTAGGGTATATTTTGCTTGGGTCATGGTTATTTTGGACTTTGCTCACTCATCCTAGGCATGG